TTAAGCAGTTTTGAAGCCGTTGCGTCTGGCCAGGCTGTGGTTTCTCACCCATCGCTGGTTAGCTGCTTCCCTCTTAGCAAAGCAGCTAGAGAAACGAGGAGCCTCCAGTTGTTGTTGTCAGCAGTTATAAAATACTAAAGTTTGTTTTATAGTGAGATTCTTTCATAACCTGATTATGGAGCTTGGTTGTTATCAGTAATGATCACATTCCTGATGTTTTATTTGACTTTAGTTCTACAAACAAACTGAGCAGATGAGTCTTCCTCTGCTCTTCGTCTTTATTTCGATGATCTTCGGTCACCTGCTGACCCTTCATCTGTAACAGTCATGTTAGATTCCTTGGTTGGCTTCTAGAAAACACAGGAATCTGGTTTGAATCCATGACCCCTCGGCTCCAGGATTAGAGGAGCTGGCTTTATTTATGTAAACTCATTTAGGAGCAAGATATTGACCAGAGCTCCCAGTAATGAGGAGGAGGGTGTAGGGAGGGAGGTCTTCCTCCTCCTGCAGCTCTAATGGTCTCTCTCCCCCCGTCTGCTCCCAGTCACTCTGTAAGTGTCATTAGGATGCGCAGGGAGTCGCCTCAGCTAAATATTGTGTAGGCTTCATTTAGCACAGATGAAACCGTGACTCACTGTGGACTCATAGAGCAACTGAGTCACGTCTCAGCCCCAATCATGTCAGCTGGCTGCGGAGAGAGTTATCTTAGCAGCTAGCAGCACTGTGCATCAGAAGCCTCCAAACCTATTAGTCCCATTCTGGTGTCTGTGTTAATTGGTACTCAATGATTTCAGAGGCGGACTGACTGTTAGTCGGAGGCTCTGCTGCTCTGCGCCTCATTAACTGGCTGATTGTTCTTCTCATGTGGAGAGACATAAACCAAAGTCGTGATCTCTCCTGGAGCTTTTTCTTTCTAAAGTCTGACTCTCTGAGTGAAGGAATACTGCAGATATATTTCAGAGCCCTGAGGCTCAGATGTTCTCCTTCCTGTTCCCTAAAGACTGATCTGACTGGAACCTGATTGGTTCCAACCTTTGGGCTTCGTTTAGTGTTTGTTCAGATGCTTTTAGTCTATATTCTATGGCAGGAATGTTATGAACAGCATTAGCTCTGTTTCCCATGACAACCTGAGACTGAATTAGCTTTCTACCTAATTTAGTCTGTTTTCTCATTGCTTTGGTTCACAGCTACTATAAACCCAGATTCTCACAGCTGCAGGGAAGCAACATGAACATGTAAGACGTTCAACAGAATCAGAATCGGATTTAGTAGGTTTGCAATTACAAGGACTTGGTGTTGATGGTGCAGAAAAATTAGATATATACCCAGAATGCAGAATCTATAGCTATAAACAATATAAAACATACAATTTACTTTAAACCAGAGGCACCAATTAAAACCAGCGACGTCCGAATAAAGAAAATCATCAACCAGTAAAGGTCCGGAGACATTTTTAATTATAATTACTGAAATAAAATCTGGTGTTTATGTATCTATGTATCAACATTGACTTTTAAATAAAAAATATTAAAAAAAATAAATACATTTTTTTCAATTTAAAATCTAAAGTGTTTTTAAAGTAGAGAACAACAATCGTTCAGTTTGGTTTATAGATAATTTCCTGATTCCCATATTTTCTCAAACCCCTGAACTGATGGTTTGTTATTTTCTTTCTTTTTTCTGTCTTAATGTTGGCAGTGGGCTTTAGGCTGCCCTGCAAGGCTTTAAACCTGGGTTTAACCGGAGACTAAGCCATTCTCAAGCACATATCAAGGAGCTCACTTTGAGCCTGGATCTAGATTTATTGTTGATTCTGTTCATGGTGGAGAATCCTGCTTCACAGCAGCAGGTTGAGCCAAACATCCTCTAAATGTGCAGGGTCATCTTTGAGCACGCCATTTCACTTTTCTTTCACCAGTTCACCGCAGTTCTTCCAGCAGTCCACACTTTCTCTGCTCTCTTTTTCTCATCGTCTCCTTCTTCTGTCCCATCGGGGGTCTCTGTTGATCAGGCTGGTAGCGGATGGGATGAACGTGAGGTTTTGGTCCTGATGGAGCGCAGCCTCCTGCCAGAGGGAAGGGGCTGAAATAGATTGTGGCTGCGGTGCGAGGGATCAGCCACCATCTTCCTCCAGGCCTCAGAGGCCTGGAGGTAAACATCCTGGAGAGATGGAAGATTGCAGCCAATCACCTTCTCTGCAGACTGGATGACACAGTCAGTGATGGAGGAGTAGAAGTGCACCATCATCATCCTTGGAAGGGTGAATTTTTTCTGCTTTCTAGGTGATGTTCAGCTCCCACTTTAGGTCCTGTGAGATGATAGTGTCAACTATGGAGTCACAGAGCATGATGGGATTAGCTTTAAGCGTTAGCAGCAGACCTGCACCAGGTCCGATCCGTTCCACCCTGATCTCCATCTGAACACGGGGATCCGTTCCACCCTGATCCCCATCCATGCTCTCTCCTTTAATCTTCAGTCTGATTACTGATGATGTCACTGACCTGAGGGTCTGATGTCACCCAGTCGCTCGTTGCTCACTGGTTAAATTCTAATTAACCATTCAGAATTTGTTCGTTTGCAGTAAATGAAAAGTTGTTGTTTGTTTCTGTCTGATGACTTCTTGCTCCACGCTCAGACAGAAACCTTTAATTCGATCAGGTTGGATTTTTGCGTTTTAGCGTCTGACTGTCGATGATCTGTTTCCTCAATTTGTCCTGAGCTCAGAGAGACAGTGAGCCGAAGTTCAGCCAGTTTGACCCGTCAAACATTAAGCATCAGCTTCCTGCAGCCCACCAGCTGCTCTGCTGCTGCTGTTTTCCTTTAAGGCCTTTGTTTTACGCTCCTCTGCCTCAGCATGAAGGGCTTTTTCTTTCCATTTTATCTTTCCCCTGCTGGGAGTTCAGTCATAACACGCCTGCTGTCCTTTGAGGCATTTCTTGACCTTTTAGTCTGGACACTTCCTCCTGCAGAGAAATTTGGGCTCTAACTGGAGATGAAAGGCATCCAAAAGCTTAAACTGCAGCTTTCTGACTGAACTCTGCAGGTGGAAGAGGCTCCTGTGGCTCCTGCTCGCTGTCAGCAGCTTAGAACGGTAAAAATGTCTTAAATTAGGTTTATTTACACTTAATTTAAGCAGGTGAATGAGATAGTTTGCCAATGGAATGAGTATTATACTCTTAAAATAAGATAATTAGACAATATAACCTTAAAATAAAACAATGAAATTGTGTTTTCTTATTTTAAGTGTAAATTGTCTTGTTCCATTGGCAAACTGTACCTTTTACCTCCTCAATCCAAGAACAAATGCACTTATTTTAAGAAAAAATGCCAGAATTTTGCTTTTGGAGACGATGAATCTATTTATAGAAAAAAGGTTCAATCATTTCAGAAACATTCAGGTGGAAATAGGAAGAAAATCCCGGCTGTTGCTCAGAGTGGAACATCTTCAGGGTCAGGATGTGGAGGTTTGGTTCTGGAGCAGGTTCTGGGCTCCAGGTTCTGGGATCCAGGTTCTGGCCTCCAGGTTCAACCTGTTCATCTGGATCCTTCTGGACGTTTGGAGGTTCGATGTTCCTCCTCAGCTCCTGGTTTCTAGTTCAGCTCTAAATATTTTATGATTCAACACCAGCTGGTATTCAGAGCTTTCATCCAGTTTGACTTGTTCCAAAGAAAGAGAGCACTCCCATGATACTGCCACCACCGTGCTGAAACCTTTGTTCAGGAACTCTGGGTTTCATTAGAACAACAAGATGTCTGCTGAGCTTTTGAGTTGAAACTAAATGGTCTCTGAGGTTGAAATCGCTCCCTGGCTGCGGAATAAAGGAAAGATGGATTCACTTCTTCAGCTACATTTTAAATTCCTCTGTTGGAACTAAAGATGCAGATGGAGTCGCTTTGGGGGGAAAGGAAAATGTTTTATCCTCCTTTCTGACGTTTCTCTTTGTTCCAGGAGAACCTTGATTTACAGGAGAGAAAGATGAGCAGTAATTTCTGCTTCCTCAGCGGTGAGAGCAGAGAGGAGGACCTTTCTAATCTGCAGAGCGGAGAAATGATCCTGCTGGTTGGAGGAAATAGAAAAACAGTCAAACTCTTTTTAAAGCAAAGTTTGAGGAGCATTATTTGTTTTTAAACAAACATATTTTTACATTTAGCTGCTAAGCTGAACATCTGAGCTTCTGAGCTGCTTTGTGGTGGAATGACTGATTGAACCGATGGTCTATAATCTGAGGGATTGCTGTAGAATCTATATCTACCGTCTCTAGCTGCTCATCCAGGAGGAAAATCCTGCCGTCAATCTGCTGCTTTTCCTGAGATAGAACCTGAAGCTTTAATCCGACTGGATGATCTGGTTCATCTGGATCTATAATATGACCTGAGATGACATGGTGTGAATTGTTATAGAAATAGACTGAATAGAACTGAAATATAAATGTTTCAGTTGGTTGGATCATGGGGGACGGGTGTCCAGGGTGGAGACTCCAGCAGCCCTCGCCACCTCACTTGGGATCAAGCGTGATGGAAAATTGATGGATGGATTATCGGGTCCTAAAGAGTTCTACCAGAATCTTTATTTTTTTCATTGCTCTTTCAAAGCGTCGTCATTTATTAATTTTACATGCATCTTGGATTATTATGGATTATAGATTATTTACCTGTGTTTTGCAGTGATGCTGTTTCAGGATAAATTGCAGTTTTTCTTCCTTTTTTGGGTCTTTAGTTCGTTTGTTTTTGGGGTGAACCTCTCTGAGGTCCGGCTGCAGGAACGGATCCTTGTTCTTCCTCCATGTTTGCCTTAAAGAATCTTTGAGCTGCAAACATGTTCTGACTTCTTTTGTTGGGATTTTTGGATGACTTTAATGGTGGCAGAATCCCGGTGGCCGGATGCAGTCACGCTCTTTCCTTTTGAAATGTTTTATTGTTGATTTTAATGATGTTAATGATTTAAAATCCAGGATATTTTATTAGTGATCTTCTCTGACTTTGTTTCTCTTCTCCGACAGCCTGTGAGCTGATGAACCAGGGCATCCTGGCGTTGGTCACCTCCACAGGCTGCGCCTCGGCCAGCGCCCTGCAGTCCCTGACGGACGCCATGCACATCCCCCACCTGTACATCCAGAGGAACGGTGACGGCTCTCCCAGGACGGCCTGCCAGTTCAACCCCAGCCCCGGAGGGCAGCGCTACACGCTGGCAGCCCGGCCGCCCGTACGCCTCAACAATGTGATGCTGACGCTGGTGGAGGAGCTGCGCTGGCAGAAGTTCATCGTCTTCTACGACGTGGAGTACGGTGAGTGATCAGCGAGGCGGAAAATGCAAAGCTGGCATTTTGGGAGCAGAATCTGTTTCCAAGTCTTTACAGTTTTCTGATTTACTCTGATCATCTTGGAACTAATGAATTATTAATAATAGTGATTAGAAATCACACCTGCTGATCTGTCCTGATTCTCCCCTCTGGCTCGTCATGTTTAAATAAAGAACATTATAAATAGAAGGGGTGTGACAGGCTGCCTATGGGGGGTGGGGGGTGGGGGGGGGGTGGGGGGGGGGGAATTGATGATGGCGGTTAAAGAAGAAGATCTGCACCTTCAATCAGCTCTGGGATTTTCCAGCTCCTTTTCCAAACTCCTCCTTTTTCCAGTTAAATGTCTGATTTCTCCACTGTGAACTTCAGCTGTGCTAAAATTGGATGCATTCCAAGCTACAAGTTCTTTGTAATTTATTTACATAAACTTTGTATTAAACTCTGTAAATATTGGTTTTATTAATGTATGTCTTCAGCACATTTTTTAAAGATGGTATTTATTAGTATTTTTATTTTGAAATATTAGAAATTGTCAATGTGATTACATGATTTTAAACATTTAATCAGATCTTAAGAAGCAACTGTCACTCATAACTTCAGTAGCCATATTAATATTACATGGGTGTCTACTTGGTGATGGTGATGATGATGATGATGATGATGATGATGATGATGATGATGATAATGATGACGATGGTGATGATGATGATGATGATGGTGGTGGTGATGATGATGATGATGATGATGGTGATGATGATGATGATGGTGATGATGATGATGATGATGATGGTGGTGGTGATGATGATGATGATGATGATGATGATGATAATGATGACGATGGTGATGATGATGATGATGATGGTGGTGGTGATGATGATGATGATGATGATGGTGATGATGATGATGATGGTGATGATGATGATGATGATGATGATGATGATGATGGTGATGATGATGATGATAATGATGACGATGGTGATGATGATGATGATGGTGGTGATGATGATGATGATGATGATGATGATGATGGTGGTGATGATGATGATGATGATGATGATGGTGGTGATGATGATGATGATGATGATGATGATGATGGTGATGATGATAGACTTCTTTATTTGTCATTTTGTATGCACAGGGTGCATACAGAACGAAATTGCGTTACATACAGCTTATGAACGTTGCATTGATATTTCACAATGGCACGAGTTATAGAAAAATACAAAAAGTGCAGCAGTGGTCAAAGTGTGAACAGTGCAGAGGATAAGAGACAGTGTGCAAGTTGCAGTGGTTCAGTGCAAAATGGCATTTGTGCAAAAAATGCGTTATTGAAAAATACAATGAGATGAACAATTTAAAGGGCTAAAAGTTAAAAGTTCAGCAGCATTTGATGCCCGATAATGTGCAATAGGTGCAGAGTTCGGATTGTGGATCAAAGGTTCAACAGTCTGATGGCAGTGGGGAAGAAGCTGTTGCACAACCTGGTGGATCTGCAGCGGATGCTGCGGAACCTCTTTCCAGAGGGCAGCAGGGAGAACAGTCCATGGTGGGGGTGTGAGGGGTCTTTGATGATATTACGGGCTCGGGACACACAGCGCTGTGATGAAATGTCCTTAATGGAGGGAAGAGGAGCCCCAATGATTCCTTCCGCTGTCCTCACCACCCTCCTCACATTCTTCCAGTCAGAAGCGCTGCAGCCTCCACACCACAGAGAGAGACAGCTGGTCAGAACGCTCTCTATGGTGCTTCTGTAGAAGGTTGTGAGGATGGGCGGGGGCAGGCGGGCTCTCCTCATCCTCCGCAGAAAGTACAAGCGCTTCTGTGCCCTCTTCACTAGAGATGAAGTGTTTACAGTCCAGGTGAGGTTGTCCGTGATGTGCACCCCCAGGAACTTTGTGCTGCTGACCACCTCCACAGCTGAGCTGTTGATGAGCAGTGGAGCATGGTGGGGGCGGTTTTTCCTGAAGTCGACGATGATCTCCTTCGTCTTCTCCACGTTCAGGATCAGACTGTTTTCACTGCACCAGTCCACCAGCTGCTCCACCTCCTCTCTGTAGTCCCGGTCGTTGTCGTCCCTGATGAGGCCCACCACCGTGGTGTCGTCCGCAAACTTCACGATGTGATTGGTGGTGAACCTGGGGACGCAGTCATATGTCATCAGGGTGAACAGCAGGGGGCTCAGGACGCAGCCCTGAGGGGAGCCCGTGCTGAGGGTGATGACATCAGAGGTGTTCTGACCGACCCGGACTGACTGAGGTCTGTTGGTGAGGAAGTCCAGCAGCCAGTTTCGAAGGGGTGTGTTGAAGCCCAGATGTTCCAGCTTTCCCACCAGGTGCTGTGGGATGATGGTGTTAAACGCTGAACTGAAGTCCAGGAACAGCATCCGCACGTGGGTGTTCTTCTCCTCCAGGTGGGCCAGGCTCAGGTGAAGAGCAGAGGAGATGGCGTCCTCAGTGGAGCGGTTTCGCCGGTAGGCAAACTGGAACGGGTCGAGTGTTGGGGGGAGACTGGAGACGATGTGTTCCTTTACCAGCCTTTCAAAGCACTTCATCATGATGGGAGTCAGTGCGACGGGCCGGTAGTCGTTGTAGCAGGTGACTTGAGGTTTCTTTGGCACTGGGATGATGGAGGCAGACTTGAAGCATGCTGGCACTGTGGCTTGCTCCAGCGAGGTGTTAAAAATGTCCGTGAGGACACCAGCTAGCTGACCTGCACACTCCTTGAGCACCCGCCCAGGTATGTTGTCGGGACCTGGGGCCTTCCGCGGGTTGACCCTCCTCAGAGTCTTCCACACGTCGGCTGTGTCAAGGCAGAGAACCTCCTCTTCCTGATGTGGGACAGCCTTCACTGCTGGAGTGCGATTTAGTGCCTCAAACCTCCCAAAGAAGTTATTTAGTCCGTTTAGGAAGTCAGCATCAACTTCATCCACCGGGGCAGGGGGCGTGTTGTAGTCTGTGATCGCCCGTATGCCTTGCCACATGCTCCTGGTGTTGTTGGCGTCGTGGAACAGATGCTGGATTTTCTGGTTATGGTTCCGCTTTGCTAACCTGATGGCACGGTTCAGGGTGGCTCTAGCTGTCCTCAGTGCCTCCTTGTCACCAGACTTGAAGGCTGAGTTCCGTGCTTTTAGCGCGTGGCGGACCTCCTCAGTCATCCAGGGCCGTTGGTTGGCTCGGGTGGTGATGGTCTTTGTTGTGCTGACGTCCTCGATGCAGTGGTTGATGTAGGCTGAAACAGTCATGGCGTACTCATCAACATTGATCTTGTTGTCATATGTTGCTGCTGATTTGAACATGTCCCATTCAGAGCATTCAAAGCAGTCCTGGAGTGCATCCATGGCCCCCTCCGTCCAGACCCTCACCTGCTTCACTGTAGGTTTTGCTCTGATCAGCAGGGGTCTGTATGCAGGAATTAGCATCACAGAAAGGTGGTCTGAGGAGCCGATGTGGGGGCGGGGGGCTGCTCTGAATGCGTCTTTTATGTTTGTATAAACTAAGTCCAGAGTGTTCTCTCCACGAGTAGCAAAATCCACGTGTTGATAAAAATGAGGGAGAACAGTTTTCATATTCGCCTGATTAAAATCTCCAGCAATGATGAAAACGCCCTCTGTGTGTGTAGATTGCAGCTCAGAGACAGTCCGATAGAGAACACTCATGGCCTCCTTTGTATCAGCGCTGGGGGGGACATACACCGCTGTGATGGTAACAACAGTGAACTCTCTGGGCAGGTAAAAGGGTCTGCAGCTAACAGTCAGAAGCTCTATGTCCGGAGAGCAAAAACTTGAGACTATTCTAGCATTTTTACACCAGTTGTTATTGATGTAAACACAGAGTCCGCCTCCTCGGCTCTTACCGCTGAGTTCTTTGTTTCTGTCGGCGCGGAAAGTAGCTAGCCCCTCCAGGCTAATGGCGTTGTCCGGGGTTGATGATGTGAGCCACGTCTCTGTCAGAATGAGAGCGCAACAGTCCCTAAACTCCCTCTTTGCTGAGAGCTCGAGTTGAAGATGGTCAGTTTTGTTATCCAGTGAACGTACGTTGGAGAGCAGGATGGATGGAAGCGATGGTCTGTGGGGGTTAGCCTTTAGCTTGGCTGCTAAACCTCCGCGACAGCCGCGTTTCCTCGGCCGGCTGCACCGCTTTCGCTTGGCTCTCCTCCAGCGTGAGCCGCTCGACGGGTCCGCTGCATCGCAGGCCTCCGGGGCTTGATCCCGGAGCACTCCGGAGTCACGTAAACAGTCGAGCGTAGTGGTGGTTACAAGTCCAAATACACTGCATGATCGTAACTCCAGCAGGCGCTGGCGGTCCAGTGATGATCTGCTAGGTAGATAAGCAGTTTGCAGCGGGTTTGGCGGTATATTTTTATGAAAATCTCCGCAAGTTGGTCGGAGCTGTATGCCAGCCGCTGCCGCCAGGGGCGCCGCCATTTTTAGATTTTTAGATGATGATGATGATGGTGGTGGTGGTGATGATGATGATGATGATGATGGTGATGATGATGATGATGATGGTGATGATGATGATGATGATGATGATGATGATAATGATGACGATGGTGATGATGATGATGATAATGATGACGATGGTGATGATGATGATGATGGTGGTGATGATGATGATGATAATGATGATGGTGGTGATGATGATGATGATGATGATGATGGTGGTGATGATGATGATGATGATGATGATGATGATGATGATGATGGTGGTGGTGGTGATGATGATGATGATGATGATGATGATGGTGATGATGATAATGATGATGGTGATGATGATGACGATGATGATGGTGATGATGATGATGATGATGATGATGATAATGATGGTGGTGGTGGTGATGATGATGATGATGATGATGATGGTGATGATGATGATGATGATGATGATGATGATGGTGGTGGTGGTGATGATGATGATGATGATGATGATGGTGATGATGATGGTGATGATGATGATGATGATGATGATGGTGATGATGATGATGAT